ATACTATTCTAGGGTAACAGTTTTTTTCCCTTCAACACTTTAAATATGTCATGCTACACTCTCTTGGACTGTAAGGTTTCCACTGAAAAGTCTGCTGTCATACATATTGCAGCTCTATTGTATTTGTGTCTTTTTTCTTGCTGCTTTAAGCATCCTTTGTTTATCCTTGGTCTTTGAAAGCTTGATTATTAAATGCCTTGAGGTAGTCTTTGAGTTAAATATGCTTGAAGTTATATAACCTTCTTGTATTTGAATGTTAATAACTTTCTCTAGATTTGAAAAGATCTCTGTTATTATCCTGTTGAATAAACTTTGTACCCTTATCTCTTCCTCTATCTCATTTTTAAGGCCAATAACTCTTAAATTTGACATTTTGAGGCTGTTTTCTAGATCCTGTAGGCAAGTTTTGTGGTTTTATATTTTTTTCTTTTGTCTCTCCTAGCAGTGTATTTTCAAATAGTCTGTTGTCAATCTCACTCTTCTTGATCAATTCTGCTATTAAGAGACTCTGATACATTCTTCAGTATGCCAATTGCACTTTTTAGATCCAGAATTTCTGCTTGATTTTTAAAATTATTTCAATCTCTTATAAATTAATCTGATAAAATTCTGAATTTCTTCTCTGTGTTATCTTGAATTTGAGTTTCCTCAACACAGCTATTTTGAATTCCCTGTCTGAAAAGTCACATATCTCTGTTTCTCCAAGATTGGTCCCTGGTGCCTTATTTACTTCATTTTGGTGAGGTCATGTTTTCCTGGGTGGTGTTGAAGCTAGTAAATATTCTTTGGTATCTGGACATTGAAATGATTGATATTTAATTTTAGTTTTCACAATCTGGACTTGTTTGTACCCGTCCTTATTTGAAAAGCTTTCCAGAAATTAAAAAGGACTTGGATGTTTTGATCTAAACTGTATCTGCTTTAGGGAACACCCAAATCTTAGTAATGCTGCAGTTCTTGCAGACTTATAGAAGTTGCGCCTTGATGGTCATAAATGAGATTTGGGAGAATTTTCTGGATTACCAGGCAGAGACTCTTGCTCTTTCCCATTATTTTCTCCTAAACATATAGAGTCTCTTTCTCTGTTCCAAGCCACTTAAACCTGGGGTTGGAAGTATACAAGCTTCCCTGTGGCCATCATCACTAGGACTAGGACCATGCTGGGTCAGACCTGAAGCCAGCACAGCACTGGGTCTCACTCAAGGCTCACTGTAAACACTTCCTGGCTACTGCTTATATTCACTCAAGGCCCTGGGACTCTATAATCAGCAAGTGGCAAAGCCAGCCAGGCCTGTGTCCGTCCCTACAGGGAAGTGAGTTCTCCCAGGTCCAGGTGGGTCCATAGGTGTCATCTAGGAGTCAGGAAATAGAGTGACAAAACTTAGAAGTCTACCTTGTGTTCTATTGTATTGTGGCTGAGCTGGCACTGAAACCACAACACACAGTTCTTTCAAATCTTCCTTCTCCTTTCCAAAGGAAAAGAACCTTCACTCTGTAGCAACTACCACCTTAGGCCATGAGGAGTTCTGTCTGACTACCACCAATGTTCCCTTAAGGCCCAAGAGCTCTGACATCAGCTTTTGGTGAATGCTGCCTGGCCTGGAACTTACCCTTCAGGGAAAAGGGTTCCCTTCTGGCCCAGGGCAGGTCCAGAGATGCCATCCAAGAGTGAAGTCCTGAAATTGAGGACTCCAAGAGCCCACTTGGTGTTACATCCTCCCGTAGTCATGCTGATATCTGAAGCCAACAAATTTCAGAGGCTTGCTCAAGGCCATTGATGTAGCTCAGGGTCCAAGGCCTCTTCAGTCATCAGGTGATAAACGCTGCCAAGACTGGGTCCTTCTCTTCAAGGCAGTGGGTTCCCTTCTGGCTCAGGGCATGTTTTGAGATGTCATAAGGAAACTAGAGCCTGAAATGGGGGTCTCATGACTCTGGTCATTGCCCTATCCTGCTGTGGCTGAGGTGGTATCTAAGATGCAAGGCAAAGTCCTCTTGACTTTTCCCATTACTCTCCTAAAGCAGAAGGAAGGGATCTGTTTTGGAGCCTCAAGCTTTGCAGCCTGTGGTTAGAAATGTGGTGATTTCAGAACTCCCTTAACTGTCCCGGCTGGTGTTTCAGTAGATCACGTGGCCTCCCAGTCCACCATCTCTGGGCTCAGTTTAGCCCTAGGACCTGCCTAAGAGTTGCAGTCCTGATGACCTAGAATGCTTTTCTAGTTTACTCAGAGATACAGAGCACTTTGTCCTCCAGTAGCGAGGTGTGAGGGAACTCAAGTTCAGACCACTAGGCTAGGTGATTCCCCTCTGGCTAAGGCTGCTTTAAATGCTCCCTCCATTAGCTCGACAGGTGAGCTTGGTCTGGTTTTCCTCTCTGCTCTTGAAGGATAGCACTGAGATTAATGCCTCACAATTGCTGTGCTCGCCTTCCTCCAGCATCCAAAGAAGCTCTCTGTACCACACTGCTGCTGCCAAGGGTGGGGAAAGGGTGGCATTCAAGATTCAGGAATGTTTTTTTTTTTTTTTCTATCTCTTTAGTGCATCTTTAAGCACTATAGAGTTAAAACCAGGTATTATGAGGGCTCACCTGATTTTTGGTTCTAATGAAGGTTTTTGTTTTGTTTTGTTTTTTCCTCTGTAGATAGTAATTAAATTGGTGTCCCTGTGAAGGTGATGGAGCTTCTATTCTGCCATCTTGGTCCTCTCTGAAAATGCATTTTGTAATATTGTTTCCTTGGAAAATATGTTTGCAGCTGCAGAAAAATAACTAACATTACCTTTGGATTAAACACCTATACTGAGTACTGCCTTGAAATGATTACCTACTATGAAGTACAATCTGATCCAAAATAGTGGTAAATTCTTCCCTGAGATGAATTATCACCTAGGTAGAGATTATTATCCAGATTAAGTAAACTGAAAAATGAAGCTGTTGAATCTTCTTTTCATTTTCTGTGCTTTGTGTTAGAACATCTCCCCAAAGAGTCAGGGTTTTTATTTAGGAATAAAATGACTGGACTTCGCTTTTAGGAGTATAATTCAGTAACAATGAGTAGAAGAACTAAGTAGATGGCTTTCCCGTCTTCCCCTTGCAAATTTTTTGAAGATTCTGCATTGAAATAATTATAACACTTTGATTTCAATCAACATTATTAAAATCTTTACAAGCATAAAAAGGTGAATTCCATACAATTTGTTAGACTGATGAAAAATCTGTAGCATTACTGTCTAAAAATAACAGAATTTGAGAAGAGAATGACAATAACAAGTTATAGATAAGTTCCCTTAAGAGATTCCAGAGTCTTTTTAAAAGCACCAGATGAGGCATAGATCTGATGATCTTGAGTTTATTTCCTACTCTGAAATTTTAAAATTCTCAGATTTCTAAAATTCTCTGAGTTGTCTATCCATAAGCCAGTTTCTCACAGCCAACTCTATGGGCACATATAACATATATTCCCACTTTCATACTTTGGCAAAATAACAATAACAGCACTGATAACACTGATTGATGCTTTGGTAGTTTTTGTTTATTTTAAATATTTTTTATTTTAAAATACTGTTTACTTTTTACTATAGTCACTCTGTTGTGCTAGCAAATACTAGGTGTCGTTTATTCTATTTTTTTTTGTACCCGCCAACAATCCCCATTTTCCCCATCCCCCGACTACCATTCCCAGCCTCTTGTACCTACTCTTCTAGTCTCTATTCCCATGGGTTCTGTTGTTTTTATTTTTGGATCCCACAAATAAGTGAGAACATGGGATGTTTGTCTTTCTGCCTGGCTTATTTTACTGAACATAATGATCCCCAGTTCCATCCATGTTGTTGCAGATGACAGAATCTCATTCTACTTTTATGGATGAGTAGTACTCAATTGTTTATATGTATTACATTGTCTTTATCCAGTCATCTGTTCAACACTGTGGTTGCTTCCAAATCTTGGCTATTGTGCATAGGGCTACAATAAACATAGGAGTGTAGACATATTTTTGATATACTGATTTACTTTCTTTTGGGTATATATCTAACAGTGGGATTGCTGTAACATATAGTAGTTCTTTTTTTCTTTTTTTGAGGAACTAATAAACTGTTTTTCATAGTGGTTGTACTAATTTACATTACCACCAACACTGTATGAGGTTTCCCTTTTCTCCACATTCTTGCCAGCATTTGTTATTGCCTGTCTTTTGAATAAAAGTCATTTTAACTGAGGTGAGATAATATTTTATTGCAGTTTTGATGTGCATTTCTCAGATGATCAATGATATTGAGCACCTTTTCATACACCTGTTTTCCATGTGTATGTCCTCTTTTGAGAAATGCCTATTCAGGACTTTTACCCATTTTAAAATCTGCTTATTATATTTTTCCTATAGAGTTGTTTGTTTTAGCTCCTATGTATTCTGATTACTAATCCATTGTCATATGAGTAGTTTGCAAATATTTTCTCTAATTCTGTAGGTTGTCCATGCATTTTGTTGATTGTTTTCTTTGCTGTGCAAAACTTGTGATCACATTTGTCCATTTTTGTGTTGGTTGCCAGTGCAATAAATAGCACTTAATAGTGTATTACTCAAGAAATCTTCACCCGGTACAATGTTCTGGTGAATTTCCCCAGTGTTTGCTTTTAGTAGTTTCACAATTTGAGGTCTTAGATTTGAGTCTTTAATATGTTTGGATTTGAGTTTTGTATATGGTGAGAGACAGGGATCTAGTTTCATTCTTCTGCATATGGATATCTGGTTTTCTTAGCACCACTTACTGAAGAGACAATCCTTTCCCCAAAGTGTGTTCTGGGCACCTTTGTCAAAAGTGAGTCCACTGCAGGTGAACAGGCTTATCTCTGAGTTCTCTATTCTGTTCCACTAGTCTATTTGTGTGTTTTTGTGCCAGTACCATGTCATTTTGGTTACTATAAGTATTAGTACGTTTTCATGCTGCTATAAAGAAATAACTTTAAAATGGGTAATTTACAAATAAGAAAGGTTAAGTTGACTCACAGTTCTGCAGGCTTAGCAGGAAGCATGACTGGGCAGCCTCAGAAAAGTTACAATCATGGTGGAAGGTGACGGGAAAGCACACGCATCTTCGCAATGGTGGAAGCATGCACATCTTCACAATGGCAGGACAGGAGAGAGAGTGAGGGTGTAAATGTCACACTTTAAAGCCGTCAGATCTTGTAAGAACTCATTCACTATCGTGAGAACTGCATGGGGGAAATCCACCCCAATGATCCAATTACCACCCACCAGGTCCCTTCCCTGACACATGGGGATTACAATTTGAAACAAGATTTGTGTGGGGACACAGCCAAATCATATCACTATAGTTCTGTAGTATAATTTGAAATAAGGTAATGTGATTACTCCAGTTTTGTTCTTTTTGCTCAGGATAGCTTTGGCTATTCTGGGTCTGTTATGGTTCCCCGTAAAATTTAGAATACTTTTTTCTATTTCTGTAAAAGTATCAACGGTATTTGGATAGGGGTTGCATTAAATCTATAGATTGCTTTGGGTAGAATGGACACTTTAATATATGGATTCTTCCCATCCACAAACAGAGAATACTTTTCCGGATTTTGGTGTTCTTTTTAATTTCTTGCATCCATGTGTTTTAATTTTAATTTAAAAAAATTTCACTTCTTTGGCTAAGTTACTTCATTCTACATATTTTTTTTTCATTTGTAGCTATTGTAAATGGGATTACCTTCATGATTTCTTTTTCAGATTATTCTATATGGGCATATAGAAATGCTATTGATTTTTTTTTTTTTTTTTTGAGATGGTCTCGCTGTGTCTCCCAGGCTGGAGTGCAGTGGCGTGATCTTGGCTCACTGCAAGCTCCGCCTCCCGGGTTCACGCCATTCTCCCACCTCAGCCTCCCAAGTAGCTGGGACTACAGGCGCCCGCCACCACGCCCGGCTAGTTTTTTGTATTTTTAGTAGAGACGGGGTTTACACCATGTTAGGCAGGATAGTCTCGATCTCCTGACCTCGTGATCCACCCGCCTCGGCCTCCCAAAGTGCTGGGATTACAGGCTTGAGCCACCGCACCCGGCCAATGCTATTGATTTTTAATGTTAACTTTGTATCCTGCAAATTTATTGAATTTGTTTATCAGTTCTAATAGATTTTTGGTAAAGTCTCTAGGTTTTGTGAAGTATAAAATGATATCATCTGCAAACAAGAATAGTTTGACTTATTTAATTTTAATTTGGATGTTCTTCATTTCTTTCTCTTGTCTGATTGCTCTAGCTGGACTTCTAGTACTATGTTGAATAACAGTGGAGAAAGTGAGCATCGTTGTTGTATTCCTGATCTTAGAGGAAAGGCCTTCAGGTTTTCCCCATTCGGTATAATACTAGCTATGGGTCTATTGCATACGCTTTTTATCATATTGAGATACGATTCTTCTATACCTAGCTTTTTGAGGGTGTTATTCTATTATGAAATGATGTTGAATTCAGTGAATCTCTCTGCAGAAACCCTACAAGTCAGAAGACAGTGGGGCCCAATATTCAATATTTTTAAAGAAAAGAATTTTCAACCCAAAATTTCATATCCAGCCAAACTAAGTTTCATAAGTGAAGGAGAAATAAAATTGTTTACAAGCAAGCAAATGCTGAGGGATTCTGTACCACCAGGCTGCCTTACAAGAACTCCTGCAGGAAGCACTAAATATGGGAAAGAAAACTGGTACCAGCCACTGCAAAAATACACCAAAATATAAAGAACTGTGACACAATGAATAAACTGAATCAACCAATGTGCAAAATAATAAGCTAGCATCATGATGACAGGATCAAACTCACATATAACAATATTAACATTAAATGTAAATGAACTAAATGCCCAAATTAAAAGACACAGACTGTCAAGTTGGATAAAGAGTCAAGACCCATAGGTGTGCAGTATTCAGGAGACCCATCTCACATGCAAAGATACATATAGGCTCAAAATAAAGGAATAGAGGAATATTTACTAAGCAAGTGAAAAGCAAAAAAAGCCGAGGTTGCAATCCTAGTCTCTGATAAAGCAGACTTTAAACCAACAAAGATCAAAAAAAGACAAAGAAAGGCATTACATCATGGTAAAGGGATCAATGCAACAAGAAGAGCTAACTATCCTAAATATATATGCACCTAATACAGAAACACCTAGATTCATAAAACAAGTTCTTAGAGACCTACAAAGAGGCTTAGACTCCCACACAATAATAGTGGGAGACTTTAACACCCCACTGTCAATATTAGACAGATCAATGAGACAGATTATTAACAAGAATATTCAGGACTTGAACTCAGTTCTGGACCAAGTGGACCTAATAGACATCTACACAACTCTCCACCCCAAATCAACAGAATATACATTCTTTTCAGCACCACATAGCATTTACTCTAAAATCAATCACATAATTGGAAGTAAAACACTTCTCAGCAAAGGCAAAAACAAAAACAAAAACAAAAAAAATGGAAATTATAACAAACTGTCTCAGACCACAATGCAATCAAATTAGAACTTAGGATTAAGAAACTCACTCAAAATCACACAACTATATGGAAACTGAACAATCTGCTTCTGAATAACTACTGGGTGAATAATGAAATTAAGGCAGAAATAAATAAGTTATTTGAAACCAATGAGAATGAAGACACAATGTACCAGAATCTCTGAAACACAGTTAAGCAGTGTTTAGAGGAAAATTTATAGCACCAAATACCCACATCAGAAAGCAGAAAAGATCTAAAATCAACACCCTGACATCACAGTTAAAATAACTAGAGAAGCAAGAGCAAACAAATTCAAAAGCTAGCAGAAGACAAGAAATAACTAAGATCAGAGTGGAACTGAAGAAGATGGAGACACAAAAATTCCTTCAAAAATCCATGAATTCAGGAGGTGGTTTTCTGAAAAGATTAACAAAATGGATAGACCAATAGCCAGACTAACAAAGAAGAAAAGAGAGAAGAATCAAATTGACTCAATAAAAATGATAAAGGGGACATCACCACTGATCCCACAGAAATACAAGTTACCATCAGAGAATATTATAAACATCTCTACACAAATAAACTAGGAAACCTAGAAGAAATCAATAAATTCCCGGACACGTACACCTTCCCAATACTAAACTCGAAAGAAGTCACATCCCTGAATAGACCAATAACAAGTTCTAAAATTGAGGCAGTAATTAACAGCCTACCAACCAAAAGAAAGGCCAGGACCAGACAGATTCACAGCCAAATTCTACCAGAGGTGCAAAGAGGAGCTGGTACGATTTCTTCTGAAACTATTCCAAATGATAGAAAAACAGGGACTTCTCCATAACTCAATTTATGAGGCCAGCATCATCCTGATTCCAAAACCTGGCAAAGACACAACAAAAAAAGAAAATTTCAGGCCAATATCCCTGATGAACATCCATGCGAAAATTCTCAATAAAATACTGGCAAAACAAATTCAGCAGCAAATCAAGTTGGCTTCATCCCTGAGATGCAAGGTTGGTCCAACATACGCAAATCAATAAATGTACTCCATCACATAAACAGAGCCAATGACAAAAAACACATGATTATCTCAATAGATGCAGAAAAGGCCTTTGGTAAAATTCAACACCCTTCATGCTAAAAACTCTCAATAAACTAGGCATTGATGGAACATATCTCAAAATAATAAGAGCTGTTTATGACAAACCCACAGCCAATATCATACTGAATGGGCGAAAGCTGGAAGCATTCCCTTTGAAAACTGGCACAGGACAAGGATGCCTTATCTCACCACTCCTATTCAACATAGTATTGGAAGTTCTGGCCAGGGCAATCAGGCAAGAGAAAGAAATAAAGGGTATTCAAATAGGAAGAGAGGAAGTCAAATTGTCTCTGCAGATGACATGATTTTATATTTAGAAAACCTCATCATCTCAGCCCAAAAACTCCTTAAGTTGATAAGCATCTTCAGCAAAGTCTCAAGATACAAAATCAATGTGCAAAAATCACAAGCATTCCTATATATCAATAATAGACAGAGAACCAAATCATAATTGAACTCCCATTCACAACTGCTACAACGAGAATAAAATACCTAGAAATACAGCTTAACAACTCAGAAGGGACCTGAAGGACCTCTTCAAGAAGAACTACAAGCCACTGCCCAAGGAAATAAGAGAGGACACAAATGGAAAAACATTCCATGCATATGGATAGGAAGAATTAATATCATGAAAATGACCATACTGTCCAAAATAATTTATAGATTCAATTCTATTTCCATCAAGCTACCATTGACTTTCCTCACAGAACTAGAAAAAAACTACTTTAAATTTAATATGGAACCAAAAAAGAGTCTATATACCCAAGACAATCCTAAGTAAAAAGAACAAAGCCAGAGGCATTATGCTACCTGACTTCAAACTATGCTACAAGGCTACAGTAACCAAAACAGCATAATACTGGTACCAAATCAGATATATAGATCAATAGAACCGAACACAGGCCTCAGAAATAACACCACACATCTACAACCATCTGATCTTTGACAAACCTGACAAAAACAAGCAATGGGGGAAAGGATTCCCTGTTTAATAAATGGTGTTGGGAAAACTGGCTAGACATATGCAGAAAACAGAAACTGGAGCCCTTCCTTACACCTTATACAAAAATTAACTCAAGATGGATTAAAGACTGAAATGTAAAACCTAAAACCATAAAAACCTTAGCAGAAAGCCTAGGCAATACCATTCAAGACATAGGCATGGGCAAAGACTTCATGGTTAAAACACAAAAAGCAATGGCAATAAAAGCCAAAATTGTCAAATGACATATAATTAAATTAAAGAGCTTCTGCACAGCAAAAGAAACTATCTCAGAGTGAACAGGCAACCTACAGAATGGGAGAAAATGTTTGCAATCTATCAGTCTGACAAAGGTCTAATATCCAGAATTGACAAGGAACTTAAACAAATTTACAAGATAAAGAAACAATCCCATCAAAAATTGGGTGAAGGATATGAACAGACACTTCTCAAAAGAAGACATTTATGTAGCCAACAAACATGAAAAAAAGCTCATCATCACTGGTCATTAGAGAAATGCAAATCAAAACCACAATGCGACAC